TGATGGGTTCAATTAGGAATGAGATTGTGAAACAGTGGGAATGCAAGGGCATTTGCGAGGGAGAGTGTGGGGCGTGACAGGAGGGGCTGCACGTTGGTGGTGGAGGGGAGTCCCCATTACCTGTAAAGCACTTTGAGTGGAGTGTCCAGAAAAGCGCTATATAAGTGTAAGCAATTATTATTATTATTATTATTATTTTCCTATGCATAGTTTTATTTATCTAAGTCCATCTGATTGAACTTTATTTTTTATTTTATTTTAAACAAAATCAAATCATTTCAATATATTTCACATCATTTTAAATATTTATTGCAAAAATGCACAGCTTAGATTGCATTTTTAAACTTTATACAACTCTCATCAATATATTGGATGAAGCTGCTATTGTTTTTGATTTTCTAAATGGAATTTAAGTACAGGTACACAGCACTGAAAACTGTCCTTCTCAATTCTAGCACACTGTTAACTCTGTTGTTGTTGTTTCTAACCTCTTTATTTCTGACAAGGTCAAGTTGGAGCCGGAACCAATGGGCACAAGGCAGGATACACCCTGGACAGGACGCCAGTCTATCACAGGGCACACGCAGACACGCAGACACGCAGACACACACTCACATCAGGGGCAGTTTTCACAGAAACCAATTAACCTACTAGTATGTCTGTGGATGTTGTTGTGGTTGATGATGTGAAAACGTGATGTGATGTTGTTTTTATGAAAAATAGAACATATGAGAGGTCTAGTTTCTAAAGGAGCTGAAGATGTGATTTTAAAACCTCCCAGTCTAATGAAATTTTGTGAACACATGCTGAAAATGCTGTTTAGATGAATAGCATTTTAACACGCATTTCTGCGTTTCCTCTGGTTCAGTGGCTGCTAGCAATCTGATAACCGCAGGACATTTGATTTTTTAATTATCAGCATTAATTAATGCCAGACAACAATCCCTAACTAAAATAGGCAAGGATACTGTGACTTTGATTAAGATCATACTGTGACTGGCAAAGTACACTCAACGTTGATACAAAAGAAACAGAAATGTTTACTAGTGTTTACAAATATGTTCATCTTAGAACTTTTTTAAACATTCCTTGTAAATAGAAGTATGATTCTATATCAAATCAGATTGTAACAGTACACGAAAACATTTTGGCGTTGTTTCATTCAGAAAACACCCTTTTTTAACTTAAGGAGAATTAAATTATGTTAAGAGATCCATGTAGGTCTTTGGCACCAATTTCAGGGCCTTGTGATGCAAAACCATTCCCCGGCAACAGACAGTTCCCATGGAAACAGGGAGCTGCCAAAGTTTCTTGTTGACAAATGACAGCTCCCTTCATTGCAGTCTGCCTTCCTGCTGTAAGACACCAAATCCCAAAGACAGCAGGCAGCAGGCTCCAGTGGTAGGAGAAATCCCAGGACTCTTCATCAGCACGGACACTCTTGTTGAATGGAACCCATCAGATCTCCAATATTTGCACACTGCACATCGTGCACACTTCACAGCAGTATACAGTATATCATCATTATTATTATCACTGGTGTTAATGTGGTGAAGTGATTAATCCTCAGATTTCTCAATTAAGATAGTTCTGCATTGTCAAAATACAGACTGATGCAGGCATGCATCATATTCTTATTGTAAATGTTATCACACAATAAAAAAATGAATTTTGTTCACTATTATAAAAAAAATCAAACTAGCATGATCAAAATACAAAAGCAGTGCCATAGCCAGCCAGACTTAAAGTATGCTCCACCAGCTCATGGCTTTAAAGATGTGCTGCATCCAAAGAGCATTTTACATGAAATCTGTCTTACGGTATCTCTGAAGCAGTCTGCTTGAATCCTTTGCGTGCTTCCTGTTTGTATTCTATACTGATACACAACTTGTCAAAGAAAAGTATTGTGAAAGCATGCAAAATCCCAAATTGCAGCTGATGAAATGTACATTCTGTAAAGTCTGCTGTGCAAAACATACTGTAGACATAAAGTGCGTTTGGCAAAGAGCTGCTGTAATGATAAACTTCCCTGTACTGCCCTCTAAATGGACTGGAAGCTGTAGAGAGGAGCAGCTGTAACCACAAGGGTATTGAAGATTGGGCTTTTAAGATGCAGGTTTGATTTGGCAATTTTCTACCCTGGTGTTACTGCAAAGCAAAATTTGTAAGAAAATATCTTTCCAGGCATCGCAAGCTGTGTTACTTTGCATCATGATTCCACCTTGCGCAATACAGCCAGTAAATATTGTTTCCATAGAGATAACGGAGAACGTACAGAAGGAGGGGGAAGTGATTACCAGTGTGTCAGGAAGATAAACGAGGAGGGAGTGCTGATGTCTTCAAGAGCTCAGAATCTTGTCCATATGGAACGGCTGTAAGTACACACCACAAGGGAGAGAAAAACATGCAGATGACAGCACTTACTGTCCAACACCCATCCATCCATTTTCTAACCTCTTTATTCAATATAGAGCCACAGGGGAGCCAGATCCTATCCAGGCAAGCAACTGGTGCAAGGCAGGATACACTCTGGATGGGATGCCAGTCCATTGCAGGACACACACAGACACAAACTCACACATTTACACCAGGGTTCATTTTCCCAGAAACCAGTTAACCTATCAGTATGTCTTTGGACCATGTGAGGAAACCAGAGCACCCAGAGGAAACTCACATTAACACAGGGAGATCATGCAAACTACATGCAGATAGCACCCAAGGAATTGAACCTAGGGCGCAAACTTTGCAAGGCAGCAATGCTAAACACTGTGCCACAGTGCCACCCAACTCACTGTGAAATAATCAAACCAAATTTTCCTATATCTCGCATTTATTTCAACATGGTTTCTCTACTTTGATTCAGAGCTAGAGTACTAAGTGGACTGTGATGTAGAAGGGATGTGATTTTCTTTGTAAGGAAATCCCTGTGCCTAGTGATATCTTAAAGACTAGTGATTCATGCAAGTTTTCAAAGTTCTGTTGAATACGTTTACCAAACTAAACGAGATGGTACTCATTTTGGTGTAATGATGTTTAGTATGTTCAGTTCCCCTGAAAAAGTTTATTTTATGCTTGATAATTCTGGTAAAATAAAATAAGCAAGTCCTCTTTCTGAAAGAAAGCTTCATCTTTGTAAGCGCCATTGAAAATTTTGAATAGTTTTATCAGGTTCCCCAATAGTCATCTCTGTTCAAGACTAAAGTGGTTTGGTTCCTTCAGCCTGTCAGTGTAGGAAATGTTTTGAGAGTTTCTGGGTATTGGTTCTGTTACCGCTACTCGTATTGAGAAGTGTTATCAATTGTACTTCGTGCAAAGTGGCACATGTGACAGTGGGCCTGGTACACCCTGGAACCTGAATAGTGTTGAATACTCCCCAGGTGGGAGGCCCAGCTTTTTTGGCCAAGCTTTAGTGGACGGCACTACTGGGGAGAAAGCTGACTCAGGACTAGAGCTTGTGCAATAGTGCAGAACAGTATAGCTGTTCAATGAACAGTAAACGGAAGGTTGTGTGTTCACAATCCAGGAGACACCTATAGAATCCTCTAGCAAACTACTTCACCTATTATTGCTCCAGTAAAAGACCCAGCTGTATAAATGGGTGCTGTAAGATGCTGTGGATAATAAGCTTCAGCCAAAGGAATTATTAGTCAGAGCCATGCAGCTCTGGATCATGCGGCTCTCTGCAGCTCTCTTCCTGATTGCAATCTGATTGAATCCCAGCAGAGGCAGAGCGGTACTTGTCACAACTGGAAAATCATGAACATGGCACGTCCCTGTTTAAGAAGTTGGAAGGAGACACTGGAAAAATCTCCATGCTTTCAGAGAAGAGCTGGTGTTTTTCCAGAATTTATTTAAGAGACGAATCTCTGAATAAGGAATGCCATCCACTCAAAATAAAGTTGGATGGAGCTCAGATTTAAAATCTGTCATCAGTTCTCTGCAGACATCAGTACAGACCAGGCGTTCCCAATCCTGTCCCTGGACACCCACACACCTTCTGGGTTACAGCTGGTTAGCAGCTGAGCTCGTCACTTAAATGAATCCTTAACTGAGCCAACAAGTCACTTGGTTGGAACCTTTGATTTTTTTCCCTCTATTTTAGAAATGTAATAGCTAAAAGGTGACCTCCTGTGTTTATGAAAAACAATAAGAGTTCAGATTAAACATAATTTCAGGTTTAAGGGCTCAATTATTGAAGCTAATTTCTCAGGTAGAACAAAGCCCACAAGCTTCAGTCCCACTACTTTGTGTGGAATGCCCTTGTTCTAGTGAGCTCCTTGATTAGGGACATAGACATGGTCAGTCATCAAACCTGCTGGACTATGCCTTCTCTTCTCTTTAAGAATATAAAATCAGTAAATATGCTTTTTCAAAAATCTCACCTGCAGTACAGCAGGCTACTGCAGGATGTCATAACGACAGGAAGAAAGCGACGATTATTTGCCTGGCTCAGGGCCAGCCAAACATAATAACACTCAGAAACATAATAATTGCACAAAACATAATATCACTCAGATCTGACCCAACTGTTTGTGGACTATAGAACCCATCCTGCACTTTGCAAGGGCACCTGTACTTGTTACCACTTCTTATCCCTTCACTGCCACTTGTTCTTATCGGAAAGCAGGCTCAGGTGCCACCATGTTATAGGACAATGCGAAAGACTATATTCTATACAGTATAGACAAATAGACTTTCCTTAGACAAATAAATACAAATAAACTTCCTCCGTGAACATTTCAAAGAGATTGAACATTTCAAAAAGATGTTTTCTCATTGGAAATATCAAACAAAGTTGGTAATATGAAATAGCGTTTCATGGGATGTGTGGGTCTACAGTGTACAACAGGCAATGTTCTGTGCAATAGTTACAGGAAGTAAAGGAAGTGTTAGATTGCAGTACTGGGATAGTACATGGGCTGACCCACTTGAACACTGCCGAAAGGGCTGGGCTTGTGAACTGTTGGTCAGAATAAAAGGGAATATACAATACAACAATATAGTCATTCTTTTGGTTTATTCATTACAGTTTTTACAGCTGTCACAAAAATCACATACAAAATGTTTTTGAAAGCATTTATATTCCTAACGAGAGTTGTTTCATTTTTTAAATGCAGATACTTGTGCTTTTAGTTTGAAATGCTATCCTGACACTGCTGTATTGCTCAGTTTTAGTTTTTTTAATGCTAGAGAGCTTTGGGTGCCTTTCCAAGACGAGACTCAGTAACAGAGAGAAAACTCGCAAAAAATAACACGTAAAAAGAAAGAATTGAAATGTGGGTCCTTTTATATTCGCTTTCCCCGAATATAGACTTTTAAACAGACAAGAATCATTGGATTTTGCGATTCAGGCCAGAAAATACTTAAAAAAGCTCAAGGTGGAAACCAATATCAGCAGATGCTTGTGTCAGAAAGAAGACTTGTAGAATGCCAAACGAGGAATCAAATAAGTGCGAGGTATCTGGAATTTTTGTAGAACATCTGTCCTGGATGTAATCTCCCAGTTTGTACATACTGTAACCAGCTTTCTGAAACAAAAGACACTTTCGTGGAACCAGCCAAGCAAATGTTATTTGGCTGAAAATTCATGAGTAACATTTTAATTCCCTCTTTTATGCACGCATTGGCATTGGTACCTGTATTGGTACTAGTATCTCAATCTGCCTCAGTATTGGTACAGTTTTAGGTACAGTAAGTGTTACCAAGTGTACTGAGGAAAGCCAGGAAAATAACGCTGGATAAAGGACATCCCTCCTAGAGGAGAAGTGTGTACAATTGTTCTTCTTTCCTCATTGTTTTTTTTTATTCATCATCTGCTTCAGCTCTGTCAGTGGTATTCATGTTCCAAGTGTCCAAGCTGTTATTTCAGAAGTGCTCCAAATCACTTTTCTTTAACAGGATCTCCAAAATACAAACCATTTCATTACAGGAAAAAAAACAAAATTGAGATATAAACATTACAAAAATAAGGCACCACACATTATTGTTGCTGTGAAAATCGACTGTCTTTGCTCAGTCAGCCCATTTTGTGGTCCAACATTTTGCTGTGCTATTGTATTTAAAGTCTACATTCTCCATTTTGGGGGGGAATTCAGATTCTTTTCTTTTTGCAAAGACAAAGACACAAAAGCTGCTTTGGACAACAGAAAATATAGATTTTTTTCTAAAATCCAAAGCCCGTGGCAAACCCGCTGTGAACTCACGCACCCCAACGGCAGCACGGTACACACAAAACTACTCCAGCTTATTTCCAAAAAACGTGTCCTTTTTCCTATATTTTTCTGCTCATTTGGCAGCACATCATGGGCTCCTGCCCAGCTTCACTTGTATCCACACTCCAGCTCGAATGGCCTGCAGTTTCACAGTGCGCCTCTCTCTTCTCATGCTGCTTGTCTGCAGTTTTGATGCGCCCATGCGCTCCTTCCCAAAAGCCTGTTTTGTCCCTCAGCTTTGAACGTTCCTTGACCTCCACTTCCACCTGGTTCACCGGCGGTGGCAGGTCCAGACAGGGATAAAACAGGTCCAGTCTGGTCTCTCCACCCTCAAGGGGGAGCAGCTGAGGGAGCGGGGAAGAAGAGGAGGAGGAGGAGGAGGAGGAGGAGGAAGAAGAAGGGCAGTGAGAGGAAGAAGCGGCCTCCTCGCAGACAGGAAACGGCAGGCGCAGGTAGCGGCCCCCGTAGAAACAGCAGCAGCCCTGGAAGCACTCCTCGCCCTCCCCGCGGATCAACCGGAAGCGTTTGCGGTAAGGTCCCTGGGCACCGAGGGGGCCGGCGAAGCAGGGCCGCGGGGGCGGGGCCTCCCAGGGACAGGGCGGGGCTGGGGAGGAGGAGGGGGAGGGGGGAGAGCATGGAGGGGGTGGGGGGAAGCACCAGTCACTCTGCAGGAAGATCTCGGCCCGCAGGCGGCGCAGCAGGTTGTTGACCAGAACGGAGCGGCGCAGGAACGCCTCGGGGTCCTCGATGAAGCGCAGTTTGTCCAGGGAGACACGCAGCACGTGCGCCCGCTCCTCCAGGGCGGGCATAACCTGCCGGACAGGAAAAGGGTGCGGGGTCCGAGATGTTAATTATAATGGGGATATTCGCCTCACATTTTGTCACTGAATTAGAGACTGAAAACATCCGCAAAGGTTTTGTTTCCTTTGACAACAAAGTAACGGCATAAGAATGTGATCCTCTTTTAACGCAACCCAAGTACGGACTTCGGCAACTCAACTCTGGTTTGGTTTTCCCTCGTAAGGGTCTGGGCTTATTAATATTCTTCAATGATTTACTGAACACACATTCATTAGCTGCGTCTTGTCTCTCTCATGCTTTCAAATAACACCTGAAGAAGGCTTTACAGCTGAAATGTTTTGCTCTTTCTATTTTCCCCCCACCCCCCCGCCCGCACTCCCCCCTCCCTCTTCAGATTAAGACCTAAAGAATCAGTCTGCTTGATAGTACCTGTTAGGTTCTAGACTGTTCCAGCACTATATTGAAAGAATCGACTTTGCTCTGTCCCAAAATTTCTCCTGCCTTTTAATGCCTTTAAAGAAACCAGCTGTGTTATGGGACTCTTCAAGTTATCGCCTTTATCATATCTGGGAAGCAGCATCAGTCCAGTTAATCAAAAAGTTTATTCAGTTAAACAATGAAGATCTCAGGAGGAATGAAAAGAATGTATTATCCTTGAGAACCCAGATGTCTAATGGACAAATGAAATGAAGATTGAGCTTCTTGGACATCCCCATCAGCATTACGTAGGTGAAGCATGTGAGGGGAAAACACTCATGTCCACTGTGAGTATAGCGAGGGGGTTTATTATGTGTTATGGGTTTGTTTTGTGTCAATCACAGATCCTGGAGGCCTCGACAAGATGAAGTCATGAACTCTACCACATACCAGAGTTTTGGCCAAACACCTCTGCTAAGAAACTGAGGCTTGGCTGACAATGAACACTCCACCATGACAATAATCCAAAGTAAACATGCAAACTGACAAAGGAATGATTAACTTAAAATGTTCTTGGCTGGCCATCTCAATCTTCAGATCCTGAGTCAGAATGAACATTCGAGATTCAAACTCAAGAAGGCCGTTCAACAATGGCATCTAGAGGGTCTGAAGGACCACATCCTTCTGTCTGATGGAATAGCCAAACACCCACCCTCAGAAGTGACAAAATCTCATAATTGGAGCCACCTAGTCAATACAATCTATCCCAAAAGAGGATTTATAAAACAGTAAATGTGTTTTCTGTGCTTAAATGAATCATTTATGACGAATATGACTTTGTTACTGTTTGTTATTGTATTGTAAAAGTATTGTTTTACATTTTTTGAGCAAGGCACTTTGTCCAATTCATAAATCTTTTGTGAAATGTTATTACATTTTAGTTCTTGTTTTAAAGGGACAAGGATAAGTCAAGAGGTACTGCAAATTAGGAAGAGCAGTGGTCCTAGTACTGTATCCTGTGGTACTCTGCTAATAACATTAAACCAGTTGTACATTCACCCATATTTGTCACGATCGCAACCCCTCCTCTTAAGGGCGCTCCAGCCCTTCCTCGTTTGTATCATTCCTGCCACCTGTTCCTTGTTTCGTCCCTGTTTCTGTTCGCCTTTAAAAGCCAGGCGCTCAGTTCACCCAGCGCTCTGCATTGTGTGAGCCCGGGACCTGGTTACGCTTGGCTCCATTATGTTTTTTAGCTTCCTGCTCCTGTCATTGTGCCCCCCGCCGGTCCTGACCTGGCACCTGATTTTAATCTCCTGTTTGGACGGATTTCCCAGCCTTGGACCTTTTGCTTTCGTTTTTGGATTTCCCCTTTTGGATTTATTCTGGACTGTTCACCTCGGCCACACCTCCCCGGATCACCAGCACCGTATGGACACATACCCCTGTTTTCATCCCTGTTCCTGCATGACTTTTTCCTAGTGTATTCCTTCCTCACTATTCTGGATTGTGTCATCCGCATAGGATCCGGAAAGAACTGTTTGTACAATATTCTGTACCTCCTGTTGTTTATTAACCAAATCTCAAAACAATGCTCACACATTTCCTCAAATACTTGCCATCTATAAATTGATCTTTTGTGTGGAAATACTTGTTTGGATTGTAGTACCTAACTGATCCAAGATTTGATGTGATGAAACACTATAAGACTGTTTTTTGTTTCCACACTATATGTATATTCTTAATTTGTAGTGTACTTGTGTTGTATTGTCTGTGTGTACTAGCCTTATCAGTTTATTAATTTATTCTTGATGTACTTGGATTATTGCTCCTTGAATGTACTTCATATTCATCAAATCACCCTGAATAAGGATGTCTGTTAAGCAAATACATAATAAAAATGTTACGAGCATGAGAGAAAGCTTGTGAAATGACACTCACTGTCTGACAGCAGCTCCTGAAGGTAAGATGGGAGTCCTCATCTTCCACATACTTCCTTTTAAAGTAGGCAATCCGGGAAGCAGCTACATGATCTGGAGCTCTTCTGTAAAGGGGCTCTGGAGAGATAAATCAAAAAGGATGGAACACTGTGAAATGTATGAGACAGTTCTTTGATGAAACACGGTCTTTTTGAAATGTATACCTTCTTCTATGTGACACCACATCTGGGACAGGTGCTGAGACCAGCGCTCAGCTGGTCTGGTGTTATATACAAGCCATGTACAAGCCTGATGTCATACACAGGCATATTCTTCTATCCACCATTATCAGAAAGTTAGATTCATCCTGGAGCCCATCCTGAAACCTACACCTTGACTGGGGTAGTCCAGCACAGGACACAGAAAACACACAGGATTCAGTGGACAAAATTAACCTAACCAGCGATTTGTTGTTAGTTACAGAATGTGAGGAGACTAGAGCATCCTAGAGAACACTCACACGGACACAGGGAGAACATGCAAGCTCCACACAGAAGGTGTCCATGGTTGGAATCTAACCCGGGACCCTAGAGGCTGCTGCACTGACCACCATGCTGCCATGCCAACCCCATTCTTCTATCATTGAACAAATCGGGGGCCTCCACTTGCAGCAGACATGGCCTGAAGGGAGCAGAACAACAGTATTTTGTGGTTTCATGTTTTATGCTAAATTTTGTCAAATTTCACATTCAGTAGTTCAAAAACAACATTTCCCTTTCATATGAGCGATACATAATTCAGAGAGCCCAAATAATGTATCACAACAGCATCGTCCAAATTTCTGAGCAATTTTCATTTTCAGTGCACATTTTCTTTAAGAGAGCACTAGCATACACAGTAGACACTTTTTATTGAAAGGAAAGGAAATAAGTGGTCATGTATGTGTTTGCACTGTGATGTTAACAAGTTGTGACTAGGACAATGCTGGAAAGCCACTCCATTCATGTGGCATGACCGGACTGACTTGGGAACCAGCTAGTGGCAAGGAGGCTGGGGAGTTCTGTCCGCCTGTGGTACATTGTCAGGCCCTGAGGTGCCACTACCTTCTGCCAGCTGCTCCACAGCGCACTCCAGTGGAGAGGGGCTGGAGACGCAGCTCTTGCTGAAGCGCTCTGACTCCCAGATGGGCTGGTACTGTGGGGCCGCAGGATCTCCTTCAGAGGCAGCGTGATCGCAGAAGGGATTCATCGACAAGACCAGGGTCATCTCTCACGCGCTCGGGGCTGGCAGAGGAGAGGAAGAACAGCCACTGAGGAACGAGCTGCTATTCATAACTACTACATACTACACCATTGTCTCTTTTGTTATACAGAGTACAATATTTAAATATTAAGCTTTCACCCTTGTATTGCCTATACAGCTCCTGGAAACCAGTCCCTGCACAACCTGTGAAAAAGACGTGATTTTTCAGCACTCCAGTGGAACACAAAATGTTGTGCTCCATGCAAGCACGTACTGTACAATGACCCTGCGTAGACCTGCCCTACAGTTGTTCTTAAGAAATGGCCGGCAGATATGTGTCTAAAAGTGAACGGCGCTCTCTGGAATAACTGAAAAACATCAATGATCACTTTGTCTGATTTGAACAAGCCTTGGGCGAGATCAGCATCTGTAATGCAAGGGCAAAATGTATTAACACCTCCTCAGTTCACACTTGAAAACTTTGTGTTTCATCTTAAGTCATTTGGAGGCTGCAGCAAGAAAAAAAAAGGAAACTAGAATTGCTTTGACATCTACATTCTTTAACCAGATGTTAGATGTATGTAGCTTCTAGCTTAATCAGTGTTCTGCAAATTGTGTCATTCTGTGATCACAAGCAGAACCTTCACTCCAAAAATCCTGGATGGTAGAAAACCAAATGAAAAAAATATTTTCCTTCCAATGCAACATTTTCGCTGGTTTGAATACACCTGGCATTACAGGGAGGGAGCTAGTGGTCGGTGTGTTGTGAAAAGCCACTGCAGTGATTCAGCCTAATGAAGAACAAGTGTATATTTCTGCAACACCCCCTTAAGCAAGATGTGTCACTATAATCCAGGTGCAAGATCAAATCTTTAACTTGTCTTATATACCTACAGGGCATTAAAGTGTCTTATATTTTAATACATTCAACAATAAATACATTTGAGCACATAGGAAAAAAGTAGACCTACATGTCTGAGTAAACCTATTAGCATAATTAGTAGGAGTTCTGGAATGGTGTTTAAAATGACAGTGCAATGCAAAATCTTAATTTTGGTTGAGGATCCTTGCTCTGGGGTACACAACGGATCCTCAAGAAGGAATGACACATAGTGTTGGGCAGAGATTTTCCACCAGCCAGCCTGTCTGTTTTATTTAAGCTTGTGTGAGCCGTGAGAACAGTGACAGTGTCTCTATTCCCTCTGCAAACCTCCATATCCCCTTCAGCACAGGTCCTCAATGAAACTTTTTCCTGCCACGCCCCCTCCCCCCCACACACTGCAGATCCGTTACCATGTCCCCACCACCCACAGCCACACCCCTCCCAGGGAGGTTCTGTGTTCAGATGGACAGGGACCCAGAGAGCACCTGAACACTCCCACCTCTCTCTCTGCCTATCTTTCAATTAATTCGAACACTATTCTAGACTTACATGGGTAACAGCATGAACCCATATTTACCTATTTATAGTACTGTAAAAGCAGTGTTCACAATTGTCACATTGTGTTGGGAACCACTCATTGTGGCTGTTCAGGAGCCATCCTTATTTAAATGGTTATTTATTTGACCATGTGTTTTCTGTTTTTGCTTTGTGTATTATTTCCCACTTTTCCAATCATACTACAGTAAAACAGAAACAAAATGTGCAGACCTAAGGCAAAATGAAAGCCTCAATTTAGAAGAGAGGAGCATTATTGCAAAAAGGCTTTGATGTTCAAAAAGTGGCAGTTCTGTGCTGTGTCCTTATACACAGACATAAGGGCAGAGAACAGGATTAAAGGTTCATTTAGTGCTGTCTTTCAAGAACATTCCCCGCTATACCTCTGCAAGGGAAAATTAGCTGTTTGGTAAGATAAAATGCCCAAAATGATGCAGAGGCTTATCTTGATCTGCGTTAACAAGCAATTTATTAGATTAAGAAATACTTTGGTTAATTAGGAGCTATTCAGGAGCTGTCACCTACCTTGGGCACCTCTTAATCGCGACTCTCTGAAAAACACAGTGCCATCATCATCTCAGAGGAGTTCTCTCCTTCCCAGCCCAGGCTTCTCTGTCTTGCTTTTATCTGTCTGCTCTTAAGATGTTGCCATCTTTCCAACGCTAGTAATCCGTGCACGTCAGACAGCTTACTGGAAAAGGGCAATTCTATTTGCTTTTCAACAGATAAAGGAAGACTTCTTGTTCTTTAGAAACACAGAGAAAAAAAATCTCCCTCAGGGCTTTTTTTTTTCTCTCAGCCTCCCTCACTCTTTCTCTCTCTGAGGAATGCGAGACTAAAAACGCACGCTCTCACCCAAAGAGCGTCGCTTCGCCGCCTCTGTTCAAACAGTCCCAACTCCAGCGGCAAAACCCATTCTTGTGTCTTATCTCTGCCTCTCTCCTGCTGCCTGTCTCCCTGCTCGGTATTCTCTTTGATGATGAGAAGTTAATTGCAGTCTGGAGGCGCGAGGCAGAAGCAGGGGAGCGAGACAGAGCTCGCTCTCTGGGAACCTTGCTTGGACCTGAATGCTCTGGTTCAGTCAAAACACTGGCAGAGGCGCAAAAACGTGAAGCTGGCTCCTGTTTCAGTCCATGGGGTTGACTTTGTCCCGTAGGACATCAACCGAACACACAGAGAGCCTCACGCACACAACATCACTGCAGCCGGCAGAATGCTAAACAGCAGCTGCCAAGCATGACGAGGAGACAGAGAGAGAATTCTCAGTCAAAGACTCCTTTAAGAAGGGACGCCGATGGAACACTTTCACCTAGGGAAACTGCTTCCATGTCTTTATGTTGGTCCTGCACAGAATTGCAACATTAATTTATTCTCAGCAAGGCTTTCAAAGGCAATGCCTACTGTTGTGACTAAATTATATGTATGCAGCGCAAAAACATATACAGCATATACTTCATCCATATTCCGACAGTGATGCATACTGTGCTGTCTGATCACTTTAAGGAACTGGTTTGTTTTGAAGGCTAGTGTTCAAGAATCACGGCAAGATGAAGGAGCAGCCAGTTGAGTACAGAGAACACACCTATTGGCTAGCAAAGGCTTTTGGAAAAATTAGTAAGAAATCATCCTCCATCGCAAGAAAACTGCTTTCTCCCTGGTAAGGGGCACAGCAACCCAGAGCCTGGCAAGCATGATTACACCCTGGACAGTGCAGGATTACACCCTGGACATCAGCACATCTCAAGACACACACATATACTTGCAGACTAATTACAGCCCACGTTAAGCACAAATTACAGACACCAATTAAACTAGACAGTCTGTCTATGGGAGAGGGGTGGAAACTGGAGCAGGTGGTAACACACCAAAGCATTGAGGTAGCATACAAACTCCACACAAATGGTCCCCCTTTCCAGAACCAATCCCAGGAGGCATTACCTGGGAGGCAGCAGCACTAACCACTATTACACTATGCCACAGTGATTATATAGTAACATTTCTGTTTCAAATAGTCTTCTCCATGGGTAGTGTGCATGAATGGAGTCATACAATCAAACCTTATTGGAATGCATGGACAGTATATCAAATTACTAAAAAGTCACCCTGTACAACCTTGTGATCTCTTTTACATCTGAATTAAAATGTAAAAGAGTTTATCGGGTTTATCGATTAGGTGCATAAGTTTTGATTTTGAATGATATAGTTTTGATTCTTTCAGTATCTATCTGAAATCATTACAGCAGCAAGCAATTCTCAATCAGGACTTTCTGATTAACTCAGAAGGTTTTTAGTGACTTGAGTATTATGCTTGCCAAAAGATTATGTTTACGGTACAAAGTACTTTGGCCAGGAAAATCAAGATTAAATCATTTCATTAATTAATTATTTAATTCACAATTGAAATAAATAAATAAACAAACTATTCATATATTTTCTTCTGATATACTCTATGCTTGGATAGATTTGCAATTAGTAACATCCCCTAATATCTGCTGACTTTTGCAATTGAATTGAAAGGTCACACACAAAAGGAGGTCATTCGGCCCATCTAACCCTTGGTAGTTAGTATCTAATTTCTTTCATTCAGCTGGTTCTTGTAAGAAACATGCTTGGGTAGCTTGTTCCACACTCCAACAGCCTTTAGAGTAAAGAAGTGCATCCTGCTCTTAATCGTAATTCAAGAATTCCTTGAATTTGTCACTATTCTTAATCTTTCACTAATTCATAATTACTATTCTTAATCCTAATTTTTTTACAGATCCCTGACTTCACAAAGAATATGCATACAAATGTAAAGCATTAGTAACAAAGAACAGATTGAGTGCATTTTCCTCCTGCAATGTACTGCATTTCTACTGACCTGACATTGCAGTGCCCAAATTGCAATGTACACGGCCTTTCTTTGGCTTTAACCTCATTATAAACCGCAGCTGCTCCCCTTGAAATTCTGTCAAACGTGGCCACGTCTTGTTCTGCTCCCGAGCTCTAGGGAAGTATCTCTGTTGGGGCAGGTTTATTTTGGAATTAATGGTTGCAGTGAAGTGTGACAGAATGCAGCCTCCTCCCTGCCTCATGTTTACACCAAACAGAGTTCACCAGGAGACTTCTGAGCGCCCGCTAGTCACCAGGACACGGTGCAGCAGATGAATCCCACAAAATATTTCAACATCGGCAGAGCAGATGCCAGGGAATCGATCATTCCATAACCAAAACAAAAAACACAATGGTTTTCATGAGGAAGAAGGAACTGCCTTGCTCACATACTGTACTGTATTAAAATGCTGGAGCATCACCACTATAATACATATACAGTATAACAATGAATGGCAAGGAACTTGAGGAAGCAGTTTAGAAAAGACTGAGGTGTTTCAGTGGACTCTTTACTGTCCCCATCCAGACATCAATAAACAAGGTCAAGACATTAGCATACATTCTGAAAACCTTGAAGAATCAAGAGAAAAGATATAACACTAAATTTACGGAGCACAGTGGTTAAGATCTCATTTACAAAACTGTGACAGAAATTAGACTAAGTAGAGTCTCCAGCAAACTCTAATGTCCTAAATGCACAATTTACTGTCTACAGGCAAGATAAATGAAAATACATTTTTATACCGAAGAAACAAGAAATCTGGGAGACATGGTTGAGATGCAGTTGGACACTGAAAATAGCAAAAGGGACTGACAGCTAATCTAGCAATAACTTCAGTTTATGGGGTAACTATTACGAAAACTCCCCTGCAATGTGTTGATTCCCTACAGAACAATTAACCATACCATGCCAACATAACCCATCTAGTTTTTTTATAATTTTTTACATTTGTTACTGGAAAGCACAACAGAATACAAGGCTTAGAGCACATGAGTGCATTTCAATCTTTAATCTGATCTGCAGGCATATACCATACTTGCCACATGTCTACCAGACTTTTGAAAAGCTGTAAATGGAAACCTTGCTCTGTGAGGAGTTTGTATGCTACCTCCATGCTTTGGTGTGTTTTGTAAATGAAATATGTAGAAATCCAGAGCAAAACTGCTCTTAAGTCCTGACGATGCATTTAAACCATCTCCACTCAGCAGTATTAACACTCATGGTCTTGATGAGATGTCAACTATTTGTTTGGCATCAGGACCCTCTAAACTCTCCCAAAGTGTTGATGAATATCAGCCAATCATGGCTTCCATGAATGTCTATGACTTGTGCCAAGAGATCTGAATACACACTCCTGCCATTCAGTGGACTACAGAGGTTCTGACAGCATTCAGGACTATTGTAACATGAAGAGACTGCTCCTATTAAGTGACCAAAGCCACAGTGATCCTTTATGTGCGCCAAAGTTGCGTGATCCTCCTCACACAGAGAAACATGCTTGCTGAGCTCTGTTTGGTTGAGGTTGCACACCCCCACGGAACAAAACAGACAGACCCTTCTCTTACTTCTGAGTTTTTTATCAGAGCTGATTGCCATCATAAAGTCAATCCCACCTACACTAAGCATGTTACAATTTGCAAACCACCTTCAAAACATCGGGCAAGTTCAATCTCACCTTTGTGCAGTGTTATATGACTGAGAACCAGGGAAATAGCTGATGGGTCTAATGTTTTTATGGAGGGATGTCCACTGAATAGGGGTGAATAGGACAATCTCTTTGTGTTGTACTGTAGTTACCATTTTACCATAGGACAGGGCTTTCCAATGATGACGCCTTCTAATATTAGCAGAACTACAACAGGAATTTGTAATGATGCTATCGATGGTTAATAAACCCATTGACATTGTAAAAAGAATGGCTGTGACACAAACTAGAAAAGACAAAATGTTCCTCTGACTACTATTCCCTGGGTGGAATTCTACCATCTGAATATAACTAAACAAGACATGCTGGCTCTGTGCTGCAAGATCACTTGGGGCAGGTCATTCAGGATAGGTATTTTTGTAGTGATCTTCTTACATTACTCTAAATAGACCTAACCAAAATGGCCACAAAGAGAAGTCAGCTGACCTATCAAAAGAAGGACCCAATCCAACTAACAAGGGAGAACTGGGAGAACAATATACAGTATAAAGGACTTGGAAGGACCTTTATTAGTAGGTAGATGTGAGGGGTAGCAGGTGTTGTGTGGATAGTGTAGTTGATGTTGGATTTGAATTTAAGGAATAATGAATTGGAATGGAACAGACAATGATTTAGTAATTGTGATCTTACTAAGACAGGAGTAATACCACATATTACTTGTACTACATGTGACACTGATTGTAATTAATGATTTTAATAATTGGAACTAAACTAGTGTAACCATCTGCTATCAGAAAACCATTATAAAATCTTTTAATCTATATGTTCTTTGAATGAGCAACAGAAGTAATGAGTACAAACAGAATGTAAGATATGCTTTATTTAAATTTCCAGCAGGTGGTTGTTGAAGTTCCTCATTAAGGGTTATTCTTAAATTGTAGGTTGTAGGCAATCAAGGAAAAGCATATACTGTATGTGGATTGAAACCTAGTTAATGGATAGAAAACAAAGATGTGAGGTAAATGCTCCATAAAATCATAGGGGTCTGCATTAGGACCACTGCTCTTCCTAATTTATATAAATTCCAGTATAGTTAGCAAACTAGTCAATTTCACAGATGATACTAAAACAGGAGGATTAGCAAACTGTAGAAACTGCAAAAGGAACTCAAAAAGACAAACTCAAGATTGGGCAAACACCAATCAGAGGGCACTTAACCTAGATAAGGGCAGAGTGTTGTATACGGAAAGATGAACTATAAATAAAATTGGGAAACATCCATCCATTTTCCTTGCAGTATAAATTCTATATTGGCAAGCAATGGGCACAAGGCAGGATACATCCTGGATTGAATGCCAGTCCATCACAGGACACACAAAAGCACACACTCACACCAGAGATAAATTTCCCAGAAGCCAATTTACCTACCAGTAGGGTATGCCACAATTGAGCCATAAATGGGAAACACTGAGCCTGAAAAAGACTTACAGTAGACTTTAATGTTGACACACCATTAATAACTTCTAGACAATGTGGGGTATTGTACTGTGAGTATGAAAGATGTAGTCAAAAAAGAACAACCAGCAGCCTAAAAGGACTGCTAATACTAAATCTAAGCTTTGAACAGAAAAGACTACAATAACAGCTTATTCAAGTACTGTATTGAAAATCTTGAAAGGTGGTAATAGAGTCAAAGCAATGGACTATCGAATCAACAGTGAAATACGAACCAGATCACACAAGTGGAAACTAAACTACATGGAATTACAATAGAGAACAGGAGGGACTGTTTTACACAAGGGGCTGTCATTCATGAAGTGGATGGAAAAAAGCCTTGGATCAATCAGCAAATTAGCAAACAAATGACCTATGTGGGCCATAGAGCCTCCCCTCATCTGTAACCTTTCTTATGTTCTTAAAGCCAGGCATGCCCATACACTGCTTAAAAATGACAACACTACTTTTCCACTGCTTTTTGCCACGACACAGCACAGACACACAACAGGTCTCGGAGTGATAATTAGATACCACTCTAATATGCAGACTTTTCAAGGGTGCGTAACCTTCCTATGAGCAAGATTTTAATCATTAGCCTGACAATGACAGTACTTAACCTTTAGACAAAAGAAATCCTTGGGGCTTTTTTAAAGAGCGTGCACTGCCTATGTTGATGAAGTACATTTGAAGGAGTTCTGTGTGTCTTGTCAGCAGAGTCATTATCTCGCAGGCAGAGAACTAGAAATCATTCCTGACAAGTATAGCTGCCTTTGTTGTGCAGTGCTATTATGATTAAGAAGCTCTGACCCACTTAACTAGGACACTGAAAAACGCACCAGAAAACACTTGCAGGATTTGTTTCAAGTTTCCTGTAAAATGTGTTTATTTCCACAAGAGGAATTAGAATGCTCTTCTGCCACTCCTGTTTAAAAGTCAAGCGTTCTACATAGTCACATTAACACCTTAGCCCACATAAGTCGGGGACAACAGCGTTGGAGGTTGCCACACTCCATTAGCAACTAAATCCATAACATTCCAGCACAATGCTTACTTTTCTGTCCAAAGCAGGGACACTAGCTCAGTAATTCCCCCAGGAGAGATCACATCCCTTTGCCACTTACAAGGGATTCAAGTCTTTAAATTTTTACAATATGTGTATTGCAACTTCATTTTGTTCCATTCTGCTATGAGAGAGTGCACAACCCATTCAATAGCGCTTGAGTTCAGCTCTGCAAACTTCATTCTCTAAGACAAATAATGGTAGTGGAGACTGGTGGTGCATGGGATTATATTCCCATGGAGTATCTGAGGGTCCTGGGAGAATCTTCTATAGTTTAATAGACAAATCGGGACAACGTTACTCTGTGTAGACATCAACAGTGAAACACAAACCAGAGGACTCCAGTGGAATCTATGGAGAGTTGAAACAGAAAACAGGAAGGACTACATTACACAAAGTGTTGTGGGAGTCTGGAACAAACTAAGCAGCCAAGTTATTAAAGTTTCTTTAATGAAATGTTTGGATAAAATCATTATTTACTCCATTGCAGGTAATGTAATATTGCTTATGTAGTATCCAACCATGAGAAGGGTGACAAAACTGAATCATGTAATTATACTGTAGACCAATGCATATGACGTCTATTACATGTAATGTAAACAATTATTAGGAAGGTCATACCTAACCAACTTGTTTGAGCTTCCGGACCAAGCAACAGTAGTAATGGATAAACAGCCTATGATGTGGTGTATTTAGAGTTTCAGAAGGTCCTCATAAAAGATTTCTTCTCAAATTACAGGTGGTAGGCATTCAGGGAGATGTGTTTGGAAAGAGAATTTATCAAATAGAAAACAGACTGTACAGATAGAGTCAATGCTCAAACTGGAGCAATGTAATTAGTACCACAGGGATCTGTAAAAGGAACACTGTTCTTTTTAGTTTATATCAACAAACAAGATTTTAGGATCATTAGTAAACTAATGATATTTGCATTTTATATGAAATTCTGAGGACTGAAAAGCACTGTGTAAGTTGTAAATAACATTCTAAAACAGTACTACAAAATTCAAGACTGGGCAACCTGGGGAACGTCAGAATGATCAGTAAAACACCAATCAAAGGCCACAAGAAGAGTCTATGTGGAAATGCATTTAAAACTCACCACAGGAGGCAGTTCTTTACCAAAGGGTTGTGGAACAAGCTTGAGTGTGGAACAAGCTTTCTATCCATGTTGTGGAAGATGATACTCTGACATCTCTTGTTCGTAAGTGTTCTTATGTTGTTACGTTTTTGTGCAATGGTCTATTTCACTTACAGTAACATAACCTGTCAAACACATCAGTGTGGAGTTTAAAGTAATTAAATGAATGAAAAGTGCTATGGTATTAACATTTATACAGACAGCATTTTAAGATTTCCAATTAACTGTAATACTGGGTGTAGTTCAGTGGAGATCTGGGATTAAGAGGCTCAGTACTGTTCCGTCAAAACTGCAGTGGTCATGTAGAGCAGGAAAAGTCCATTTCATCCATCTGTCACTTTGCACAAATTCTAGTACGTCCAGCCCAGCCTTTCACCTTTGACAGTTTAAAGAAATCTAATTTAAGACATATGCTCTTAAAAAAAAATAATTGGGCATAATGTTGCTGGCAGCACGTCTAACATGACTGACAGGAGTTGCAGCACAAGCATGCAAGATCTTGCGATTTCCTGGCAGATTCCTCTTTAAATTCCTTGGAAGTACAGAGCTAGAATTGGCAAGTGCTCCTTCTGCTATTGAACCAACTTCCTCTACAGCTGAAACATGAAAGAGCCCTCTCAATACATCAATGTTCAAAAGCCTGGAAAAGAAGTTTCATTTTTAGCCATGTAACCGCTTTCAAATGCTTTTATATTTCCCGTTGCATTATTTTAAGGAAGGCTGTAACTTTATATAGGAAATCCTGCTTTTATGATTGCCAACCCATATCGGAAATTAGATATGGAACAATAAATGTTAATTTACTACTCTGCTAATACTCTAAAGTGCACTTTTAAAAGAATAATTATATAGATTGCCTTTTGAATGGATACAAAGAAAAGTAGAGATGTCTGCAAACACCAATCCGTGGACATAACACATGCCTCAAGGCACAGGGTGCTGAATTTAAGTTTTGTTGGACAGTTGGAAACACTGTACAGTGTAGAAAGGACTATCTGCACTAGTGCAAAGGATTATGCTTGATTGAGAGGGATACCTATCTTCTTATGATAAATAATCTAATTCCAAAGAAATAGAATGGAAGGGAATAGAACACAAAGGAGATCCACTACAGACAAAAAAGAAAATTTAATGGCTGAGAACTAAAGAAGCACAGCTTCAGGAAGTGATAGAGAAGAGCATCACATTAGCACAGAATTTCTGAGAGACAGAAAATAGGCAAGAGGTACTGTAAATGCGTGACATTGTATATCAAAAAGAGCACTCAGGCACAAGAACCCGACCACAGTGAAGGGTCCCAGAAGCCATATAGGCCAGATTTATCAAAAACTATTCAAAAGATGCTGCCAACTGCCTGTTTCAGATGTGAATCATAATATATTCGCATGTGAAGGAATAAGAAATGTACATAAAAAGGAAGAAGACGTTATCATGGGAGATTTTAGTTTTCCTCAGATGGATTGGGAAAAAACATAATCTGGACATCAGCAGTTTAAATTGAAAGGGGAGACATGGTCAATGATTGCTTCTTTACTCAGAACGGTTTAGCAGAGCACATACAACATGAAATGCCTGCATTGAGGTAAAAGAAATGCTTGAAGGGCATAACAAATGATTACAGAGTAAGTAAATCAAATTCTAGAAAGCAACCCCCCTAATAGATAAAATCAATTAGAGAGATTAGCCATCCATCCATTTCCTAACCACTTTATGCAATACAGGGTGATGGGGGAGCTGGAGCCTATAGGCGCAATCATGCACACACTCACATCAGGGTCAACTTCCCCAGAAGCCAATTAACCTACCAGTATGTCTTTTGGACTGTAGGAGGAAACTGGAGCACCCAGAGACAGCCCACACAAACACAGGGAGAAAAATATCCGAACTCCACACAGAGAACACCCCAGGAATTAAACTTAAGGGCCCCAGCACTGTGAGGCAGTAGTACTAACTACACCACCACCATTCTGCCCTGGGGAGATTA